TACAAAAGTTTTGATTTAATTTTGTAAGTTTTTCTACAAAATAGTTCAACAAAGCTTAATACTTTCAGAGTTGGAGTAAACCTACATTGATATGACTATAGTTATCTGATAACTATAGCTGATAAATCTGATGTTTTTCTTACTTATTACCATTTTTGTACTTTTAGTAAGATGTTAAGTTTTACTTCACGCATTTGACACAAAGTTTATATTTATATCATTAAAAAAATATAAGCTGTCAAGAAACATCACGGACGATATGTATCGTTTCAAATATTTTTGGAGCATTTTAACTGAAAACATATGGTGCATGCATAATATTCGAAGCTAGAATTGTCAGCGCCAGTGTTTATAAATAAAATATTTTTTTTTATAAATTTCATAAATAAAATTCTACTAATGAGTTATTTAAATGCTCACTTTAGAATAAAAGTAATGAAATACTGCATTTCCAGAATGGATCCTATATATTTCCTTTAATTTGAACTCTGATTCAGTAGCTGGAATGATGATAAAGTGGATCGACAAAGTTTCAAACGGCAAAGTGCAGATATTAAAAAAAGAAATAACTGTACTGGATTGGGTCTATGCACTACTCTACAGAAGACAAAAGAGGTATTCAAGAAGTTACGAAGAAGAATGTGAATAATTAACGAGTTGCTTGAGAAATTACAGATAATTGGAAGCAGAGGCACGTTATGAAAGAATAGTTTAGTACTGCAGTTGGAAAACTACAAAGTAAATAGAAGGAAAACAATGAGAATATGAGGTGCGCTCTTTTAATGGACTTGCTTTCTGGGAAAATACTTATATATTATGTACTCATATATAATGGAATGCTAATAACAGCACGTTTACACTAGACGAATCATTTTAATATTTGAATAAAATTAAAAATATCCGAATAAATAAAAAAATTAAATATCATAACCATTCATAGAACTTGATAAAATGTTTATTGGAACTTGGTTTTGTATTTTCAAAAATGGAAGTTTTAATTTTTAACATAGTTTTCATCGTTTGTTAAGACTAGAAGATTTTCAATCGCAATGTATTCAGTTTACAACTCTGCAGCTTATCAATTTAATATATTTGTGATTAAACAATATGCAATTAATAATTTAAGATAAAATATTGAATGCTAATAAGGATGAAAATGACGTATGATGCATTAGGAACCTCGTAAAAAATTTATTGAAAACAGGAACTTTTTTCTAACAATAAGTGTATTTGTATCAATTTTCTTATTCTTGAAATTGTCATACTTTGTAAATTAAAATATGGTCAATTTTCGTAGAAAATCTAATGTTTTACATGCAATTGGTAAATAATCAATTTTAGCCTTATTTATACTCTCTTATAAGTTAGCTAATTTCTGTGAGACAACGTTATACGTTAATGAACTTTCATGAAGTCTCATCGCTTCTTAATAATTTTTAAAATATTATTTATATATATATATATATATATATAATATATATATATCTATATAATATAAATTATTGTGAAGCTTCTTACAATGTAAAACCCATATTGTTTTTAATAACTCTTTTCACCAAACAATGAACATTTTAGTGAGGGAATATAGAAGTTTTATAAAATGAATAAAATTCTAATAAAATATGAATTTTATTAAATAAAGTTGTATGGGTTATCTTATTAAATATTCACTTTCCTGCAATTTTTAACTGCTTCCGAATGCAAATTCTCTTATGCGTTTATGCGCCTCAATATAATGAACGCGATTAAATTATTCATAGTTTTAAATATGGAAAAATATGCATGTATTGAAAACATACAAAAACTACCTTATTATTTTACTACAGTAAAGCTCAATATTCTGATGTACCGTGCAAACATACTTATTGCTAGTCTACTGTAACGAACGCTGCGTTATTTACTTTTTGTATTAAGATTTTTGTTTACATGCACCATAGTAAAAATGGAAAAAAGTGTTACGTTATGAAATATGTGCATATAACCTTACTATTCAGCCGAAAGTGGGCAAATAGCATAGATTTTTGGGCGATCATGTCTGACCGGAAAACGTATATTCGTACTTATCGCAAGTTATTACAATAAATTCACAGACAAGTTGCGAACGGACAAAAATTAATACTTAAAACCAGTTCAGATCAATATTATGTAATTGTAAATTTCTTTGGCGTATGTAGAAATAATGCAACTTAAAGGAAGCGAAGGAAAGGAATTAAGATCTGCGTGGCACAATGATTTCCAAATTACGATAAAAGTTCAGAATGAGAGAATAACATTGAAAAGTATAGAAAAGCTAAATGATTAAAATTAAAGCTAGCTTTGAAATTTCAGCTCGAAGTATTTGAAAATGCAAAACGAACACTCAACCTTTTTGTGTAGAACAGCAAAAAAATGTTTTTCAAAATATAGATTGAATTTTTCATCGATTTTAGTAATTCCACTGAATTTATTGTAACTATTCATGTAAAAAGAATGAAGCACAGGAAAATATTATACAATAGTATTGAGTTTTCTGCTTCTTTTTAAATTGGATGATCAGGCATGAACTGATTTGATGGAATACATATAATAGAGATAACTTATTGCAGAAAAGTAAAATGATATTGTGCTTCAGTTTTAAAGATTGTATCTTAACAGATATTGCTGACTGCAAGACTGAGTATAATCAACTATTCCATATTTATTTTAAATAATTAGAGTTAGTTGGAGATATAAAAAGGTCAAAGTCGATAATAATAAATATAATTTAAATATGAACACTTGTACTATTTTCTGTGAAAATATTATTACATTGAACACCTAACAGTAGAAAACAAATATTGATAAAGTACTTTATATAAAATATAAACGATTAATTAAAATACGCGATTTTTCACGATTTAAAGTTTAAACTTCCAATCCAAGGCTTGCAAAATAGTAAAAATTACTTAAGGGGACATTCTAGTGTAGAGGCATAAATTGTAGGTCACTTTTAAATCATTGTAAAAAAGTAATTAATTTTTCTATAAATCATTTCTCAACGTTACAAGAGTACAGAAAAAATGAAACCCAAAAAGTTAATGATTTTCAAAATTAACTGTTGTTGAAGTGAGGACTCCTTTTAATTATGAATATTTATGCCTCTACACTAGAATGTCCCCTTAAGTAACTTTTACTATTTTGCAAGCCTTGGATTGGAAGTTCAAACCTCAAATCGTGAAAAATTGCACATTTCAAATTAATCGTTTATATTTCATATAGAGTACTTTATCAATATTTGTTTTCCAATGTTAGGTGTTCAACGTAATAACTATTTTTACAGAAATAGTATAAAGTGTTCATGTTTAAATTATATTTAAAATGATTGACCTTCGACCTTTTTCATATCTCCAACTAATTCTAAATTATTTAAAATAAATATAAAAAAGTTGATTATACTGAATTTTGCTGTCAGCAATATCTTTTGAGATACAATCTTCAAAACTAAAGCAAATTATCATTTTTACTTTTCTGCCAAAATCCAAAATGAAAAAATGAGCATTAATCTAAAAAAAAAATGTCGCAATGGCATATACTAGGGTTAAGTTAAAAAAAATGCCAAAATGCCGACTATTTAAAAAAAAGTATCACTTTTGACTTTTACGAATTTTAAAAAAGTAGTAAAAATTTAAATTTAGAAATGATGCTACTATATGCCAGAAAGAAGCCTATGTAGAAGATTCTCTGAAATTTTCAAGTAAATCGGTTCAGTAAAATTCGAGAAATCGTAGGCATCGTATTGGAAAAGACAGTTTTGAGAAAAACGCATGTAACTTTTTGTAAAAGAAAGGAAACAAAGTTTTATCATAATCAGTTGTATCTCCAAAAATAATTTATTTTTTAACTTCCCGTAGGGTAAGTTATAGTAATCGCAAAAAAATCGAAAATGAAAATTTTTATATATCTTTACGTTTCAGAGGTTTCTGAACATTTTGGCATACCTTAGAAAAAATGGATGTATGTGTGTGTGTGTGTGTGCGTGTGTGTATGTATGTGCGGATACAAATTTTCGTCGACGATTTCGGGAACACGGATTAACCGATTTGAATAATTCAAAAAACATTCGATTCGTATTGATAAGGAGACGTGCTGATTAGTTTTTGGCGAAGGCAGGTCTAGCCGTTCCGGAGATACGGGGCAAAAAGTGCCGAAAACGGTAACTCAGTTTTTAAGAGAAGGGAGCGTCCGATTTTAATAATTCAAAAAACATTTTACTTGTATTGACAAGGTAAAGAATTGATCAAATTTTCATAAAGGCAGGTCTAGCGGTTTCGGAGATCTAACAAAAAAAGTAAAAAAAAATGCTATTTGGCGGTCAAAAATGATCATTAGACATATGCACATCAAATTTTCAGATATTTTATAGAGATTTTAACAATAAGTATAAATTTTGTTTATTTTCTTATGGGTTCCGTATCAATGTTTACCCGTTAGACAGCGACGCCGCGCTTACGCGCTTTATATTTTGTCTCTATGCAGTTAAAGCAGTACGATTGCTTTGAAAAACAAGTTCAGATCTTCCAAAATATGTCAAAATAAAGAAAACATTTTTTTTTTCAAAAAAAAAATTAAAAAAAAATTTTTTTTTAAAAATTAAAAAAAAAATTTTTAAAAAAAAAATTTTTTTTTTTCAAAAAAAAGTAATTTTTTGTCCAATTTATAGTTTCTCAAAAATCTTATTTTTTTCGAAGTAAATTTTTTTCAAAAATGTTAATCGTTTTTAAAAAAAATAATAATTTTTTGTACGGGAAGTTCCAGCAATTTGCCTTAAGGCACAATGCCCTAATTGCCTTAAGACAGAATTCCACTTACAGCTAGTTTTAAAATCCTTTCGTACACATTCTTAAATAGTTAAACTTCAAAAATATGAAATAAAAGAAAAAATAACTAAAATACTTCCTTAACCACTTTTTCACTGAAATAAATTTTATACCCCATTTTTGTATAAAATGTAATAAAGATCAAATAATGAAAAAAATACTCACTTGAATCCTTTCCGCATAGTAGACCAGACTGGCAAATATTACAATGCCCAGCACCAAGAAGAATACAAGTAGAGTGAGCTCTTTCGCCGACGCCCGGAAGGTCTGTATGAGAATCTTGAGGCCGGAACTGTGCCTGGTGAGTTTGAAAAGTCGCATGATGCGGATGATGGAGAAGAATTCGAGAATGTCCGCATTCTCCAGATGCGACGCGAACTTCTGCAGCCCGAGATCGATGTAGAAGCTTAGCGTCGCGATGTAGTCAATGATGTTCACCGATGATTTCACGAACACGCATTTGTTAGGCGATGAGATGAATCGCACCTGGAAGGGAAAAAGAAACATGTGCTTTACATAATTGGAGAGATTTTTTATACTCTAACAGAATTCAATGAATAATCTTATGTGAATAAAATCTACTACTGGAAATATGCCAGGGTAGTGTGTATCCCGGAAGTAAAACTCTAGTGTTAGTATAGTACACTAAACAATATGAGTTTGTTTAGTTCCTCAATAATTTTTTTTTTACAATAGTTAAATAGCAATCAGAAAAAAAATTCTATAAGCTATTGTGTTGATTATTAGAAGTCCAGTAACAGTATTGGAATTCTATATATATGACATGACGGAGATCACCCCAGTGGGTTACTCCATTTTAATGCTTTAGATCGAAGGGATGCTTATTCTTCAATCTTCTAATATATAATGCTTGTAATACGGGAAATAATGTGAGGCTATTGTGGTTGATGATCTTGTCATGATGAATTCCACTTCTGTTTTTCACTACCTCCTGGACAGTATCTATTCTTATTTAAAAATTAGAATTCCTCGACGATAACTACCCGGCCAATCTGCTATTGATAAGGAAATGCATTGCAAGCTATGCATGCCGCGCGCTGATCTTATGCGATTCATGGTTGAGTTGTATTAAATGCATCTTCGAGTGAAATATACCATTCAGCATGGCAATATATAATATAATTTTATAAGCATAAAGACAGTAATCATACTATAAAAACCAAACAACATACATCACAACCAACTTTCGGAATATGTTCAGAAAATTTGAGTGATTTTCCGTACTAAAAGCTATATTATTTATCCTATGTCAAATACAAATTACATGAGCACTTGTTTACAAAGATTGTACTTAAATATTTATCAGCAAAGTTGGAATAACTATTAATTTATTGTACAAGAATTGTACAAGAGTGTACAATTCCTTTTTTACCTTTATATGATTTTATTATCTTATTTTTTGCACCTTTGCCAGCGAAAAAGTTTAGTTTTTCCTTTTTACTCCAACCACATGTGATCTTTTATAGAGATTATATAAAAAATCAATTAAATCTATGATAAAACTTACAACGCATACCATATCAAAACAATTAAATAAAGTGAATTAAAATTTAAATTTCAACAGTTTGGTTGTAGAACAAAATAGTATTATAAAATTGACTACTTTACTCTATCAATCAAATTATAATGACTATATCATAACTGTATTCAAATTTTAACTGTAAATATAATATAGGAAGTTTAGGAAAACAACGTTCAGTTCACATAATAGCTTATTGTGAGGATATTCATCTTGAAAAACTTCTACCACAGGCTATCAATAACAGTATTGAATTTCCATTTTATTATATATATTTTTTCATTGAATAAAATATAATTCAGCTATACAACACAATTCGTAATAATAGTTTGCTCATTAAAATAAGTTAATTTTATTAAGTTGACTAAAATTATGTGTTGTGAAACATCTATTTTAAGAATTATAAATAGTAAGAAATTGAAAAAACTTAATAGGGTTTTTTAACTTTATGAGATAGTACATGAGTAATCGTAGAAAATATTACTGTTTCAACTATATTTTAATTTGTTTGTCATTATTTTCATAATCTTATCTGACAATTTGTTTCTCCGCCTATTCCATTTAAATAGTTGAATTTATAAATATTGATAATTTTAAACCTCTTTGGGAAAAGATCATAGAAATTAATTCTATCTCCTAAATAAATCAATAACTAGTGGGGTGTATGGCATCGTGCCTTAAGGCAAATTGATGGAACTTTCCGTACCGTAACTAAATGTTCGAGAAATACTGAATGTTTTCAAATAGATTATTATTAATATTGTAATATTGTCTAATATTTATAAGAATTATATAAACTGGATTGCAAAGTTGAAATTATTTGTTTAAAGTATATTAGAACTTTCAGATTTAAAAATAAAATCTGATTTATTTTCGATATACAAAAATTCTTTTTTTTTAAAAAAAAATATTTTAAAACAATTTTTTTTACCAAATCAATTATTTTGTTAAAACAAGCAGAAAGTTCTTTGAATCATTTAAATCGGACGCTTAGTTCTCTCAAAAACTGCCATTTTTTTAACATTTAGCTCTGTATCTTCGAAATGGCTGGGCCAATTTTGCAAAAAACTAATAACCACTTCTCCAAATCATTACTAATTGAATATTTTTAGATCATTCAAATCGGATACCCCAATCTCTCAAAAATTCGATTTCTATTTTCTGCACTCTTTGCTCTTTATCTCTGTAACTGCCGGACCTGCGTTTGCCAAAAACTAATCAGCACATCTTCCTATCAATAGGAATCGAATGTTTTTTGAACCATTCAAATCGGTTGATCCGTGCGCCCGAAAACGTGACCGAAAAATTATATCCTTACACACACACATCAATTTTTTCTGAGGTATGCCAAAATGTTCAGAAACCTTCAAAACGTCGATAAATGTAAAAATTTTCAATTTCGATTTTTGGACGATTACAATAACTTACGGGAAGTTGAAAAAAAATCTATCTACCTAATTCATAACATTTTCAAGTGCATTTTTCCAAATCACATTTTGTCGAAATTATACGTTACCAAAAAATCGATGATTATTTGTGTAATCCCGCATGTACAGAAGCATTTATTTAAATTGTAAAAATTCTCATGATTATGTGTATTATTGGTCATCAATACATAATAGTATATTTTATGATCATAAAAATAGCTCAAGTTTCCAAATTAATTATTTTCATTTATAAATACTAGTAAGATCAATTTAACAAGTTAACCGTGTAAAACTAATAAGAGTCAGGAGAACTTATATTTATACCTTTCAAAGAAAAATCTGAACATGAGTTAGCTTTTATATACGTTTCTATATCCCTTTATAATTGGCCCAGTCAATTAATTTTATAACATTAATTAGTTCCTCGGCATAGCGTGAATGGTTTCTTTTATATATAGAATTTCTTCGCCCAAGTGTATTTTTCTATCCGTTCTATAAACCCCGATGTGCAAATATAAGTATTGATTTCGCTTCGAAATGAAAGAGCGCAGAAACAAATACCTCGTTGATAAAATATTTATCGATGGTTTTATTAATTTTTATATGTAACACGCAAGATTATGTTGGTTAAGGTCTGGACTATGTGATCCGTCAAATCTTGCATCTTAGTATGTTTGCATTAGTAAATGCGAGTAGATGCTGGTAAAGAAAATTTAATAGTAATGATCAATGAAAACTTAATATTGTAGTGTTATGATTTCATGATATATTACACAATTTTTGCAACATAAAACTAAAAATAATTAGCTTACAAAAATCATTTAGTGAACTGCCTGACAGCTATTTTTTTCCCTGAGATGTTATTATGGTTTATAAGTTATTCGAGGACGCCGATTTCGAACAGAACAGCTTGCTAACAGCTTTAGTTTTTGAGATATACCAATGTGCTTCTTTTAAATCATTTTATTGTATGCCTTTTAAATTTTGTTCATATAATTTTTGTGTATGGACAAGGACTGGATAATTTTGTCGTAAGCCCCAATAATCATAAAAAATTCGAAGAATTTTATAATTAAAATATGTATGGATATTTATAAGTAGGTACATGTATATATTTTGTGTGTATAATTTTTATAACACAGCTAACATGTCTTTCAACAAAAAAAGGTTTCGATGATTTTTTCTTAAAAGTGTCTTAAATTCTTTGTCTCAGAAATACAGTTGAAGATTTCAAAAGTTGAAAATTAAATCTCATATTAATTTTTTTCCTTCTTAAACTAAAATTATTTATCTTAATTTACAAGATAGTTATTCGGTTATTCAAAAAGTTAATCAAACAAAACATTATTTTTGTCATGCCAATTTTATTGAATATACTTTTAATATACCTTCATATAACGAATCGACTTTTATATTTTTTCAAAAGTTTTCCATATAATATGGTTATACTGAACATTTTAATTAATACGTCACGTATGTTTAACTTTGACCATCGAAGTTAATTATCTGCAAATTTCCACTCTATCGCCAGATTTAGGCCGAATTCACCCATGAATTTAAAACTTATTATGTAAATATTTAAATAAACGATAATTGAAGCGCATACTAATAATGTATAACAATAATTATCCACATGAGTCATAATTTTAATCCAAAGATAATCAAATAATATTATAAATAAATTTTACGTTAGGACGCTTTTACTTTTTACTATCTTCGTAAAAAATATTTAGTTTTCAGTTTCCGTATTCAGAAGGAAAATCTTGGTTATTACGGTTACTCTTAAATTCGTAAGAAAAGCTATAAAAACGTATTTAACCATTAATTTCAGGGTTATCTTATATATAAAAATGGATCGCAAAATGTGTTGGTAAGCGCATAACTCAATAACGCCTGGACTAATTTGGCTAATTTTTTTTTTAAAATGTTCGTTGAAGTCCAAGGATGGTTGTTACGGCGAGAAAAAATCGAATAATTGCCAGGAAAACCCTAAAAACAACCCTTTTCTTTTTTAATCGAGTAGGCAACGAACTTTGTAGAAAAAACAATGTTCTATGTCATGACATTTTGTGTAGTTTTTGATAATCTAATTTTTAATATATAAGGTTGTCAAATATCTCCCTTCCGCTTTTTTTCTCCAAGACAAAAGAGATATTTGACAAGTTAATATTTATACAGACATAGAAATCTCTTTCCATTAATTAACGAGCTATATTGGCAGCCAAACACATTGATGTAAATGAATTAAATTTCAAAATTCAAGAACAAATTACCGGCGAATCAGTTGATTCGGCAACTAACCAAGACGATCCACCGAAGTTTTTAAACTCGCTGAATTTGGTAGGATTGTCACCTCACAATCTTCAATTAAAGGTTGGATCGGCAATTATAATGTTGCGAAATATCGACCAACCGCGCCTTTGCGAGGGCACAAGGTTAGCGATAAAAAAAACTACCAAACAACGTGATGGAAGCAACTATATTGAAAGGATAGTATAACGCAACGTGCATCCCAATGATTCCGACTAAGGTGCCATTTGAGATTAAACGACTACAGTTTCCAGTGCGTTTATGGTATCATTAAGTGTTTGTGGTATTAATTTGGAAATCCCATGTTTCTCACATGGAAAATTGTACGTTGTCTGTTCCCGTATAGGAAAACCATCAGATTTGTTTGTCTATGCGCCAGGAAATCAAACAAAAAACATCGTTGATCACAAAGCACTACAATGAAAATTGAACTGATTTTTGAAGTATGGTTTACATGATTAAAATTACTTACTTTTAAATGCTTATAGTGTTTTATTTAATTTTTTTTAATTCACGCCGAATTATTACCAGGGTAACGGTTCTGTTCAGGATAATTTTTTGCAAAGAATAGAAAAAAGGTGGAAACAAAACACCGCCATATTGCACATTTTTTTGACAGGACAAAGTCTGTCGGGTCGGCTAGTTTGTTTATATAAAAAATGCTTTTATGAGACCAACGATTCAATTTATTTACATAATTTGATTTTTTTGAATTATTTAATTTAATATAATTATTATATTTGTAATATCAAATTTTTAATCAATATGCGTATAATATAGAGGTATTTACCTCAAATAAACCGTTAAACTTTTCTCTCAATGGAGTAAATTATTATTTTTTCTTTTGAACTTTTTTTTACTCTGTTTATTCAACAATGACTTATAAAATATTATTGTATCTTGACTGCTATCTTAAGAAAACAGAGTAAATAATAGATTTAGTTTGTCACATCATTTGCTATATAAATTCCTTTAATGCATGTGATGACTACATAATTCTTTTTCTTAATATGCTTCATATTTTAATTTATTGCAATGTGTTGTATTCATTATTTAATTACGAAACAATTATATTTTTTGTGTTCAAATTATTGTTTAATAAGCAATTTTCTCGTAAAATACATAAATGAATAATCTTACACCTTTGATTACTAATCATATATTAATATGTGCAATAGCTTCTTGCAGCATCTATCAACATAATTCGTTTTTGCTGAATCTAATTATTTGACGAATGACATAATTATAAAATTTGCAGTTTTTTGTAAAGTAGATCCCATCAGTATATACTTTTTATAGTGTAAGTATATTTAGATGTCTCTTCTTTGATAACTCAGATTGTTAAGTTATATTTTAACATTTAAACTGTGTTGTGTATAAAACATTGATTTGTTGTTATAATTTATTTATTTGTTGCAAGTTTCTATTACAATACTGATTTGTCACTAAGTTGTACTTGATCGAAGATTGTATATGGTATATGAAAGTGAAAGTAAGCTCGATCCAATAATGCACTACCTTCTCGTCGGGGTAGCAACTTTCCGGTACAAAAGCTTTATGTAAAGATCGCAGTCTTCATAGCCAACACAATAATATGAAAATACATCCGAACAGATAGATTGATTTGATAACATTATGAATAAATAAAAATTAAGTACTTACCAGAATTTCGACCGTGAACCAAGCATTGCATACGCATTCGATGTAGAAGAACGCCACGTGTGCGTTCGTGTGCGTTTTGTCTAAGACCCAGGCCAGACTGTGATTGGCAGTTTTCACCGTAAAGTTTCGTATAACGGGTACCCTCATGTCTGGGTGTGTTTTGAGGCAGAAGGACAGAATAGAGACACAAATGAAAAACACAGATATCACCCCGATTATCTGAAAGAAAAAAGACAAAATATTTACAAACACATTATTAGCTAATGATTTTTATACACTCACACGTTAATTTATATATATATATATATATATATAATTAATTATTTAATTTACAATTGTTGTAAAGAGTTCATCCCAACAATGGACTTAAACCATTTATACCTCATTTAGAAGAGATTGCTTCAGAAAATTTTAGGCCACTATAAAATATTGAAAAAAATTTAATATAAGCTGTTAGGATACAAATAAATATTAGTTTTTTACTTTTCTATATTCACTTTCACGTTTTATCTAAACCGTAAATGATACAAAAAGAAACTCGAAACATTTCTATTCAGTATAAATTTGATAAGTTTTCGAAACACGCAATGAAGAAATTATAATGAAATTAAAATTTGTATGAATATAGTGTATAATTGAGTGTTTGGCTATGAACAATTTTTATTTTATTTTTGAATAAATGTTTATGTATTTAATTTGCCATTCAAACACTGATAATTATCATAATATGCTTGAAATAATGTAGAAAATGGTAAATACACACACACGAATATATATATATATATATATATATATATATATATACATATATGTGTGTGTGTAATCATCTTTCACACTTTTACATTTATAAACAAAAATTTATGAAAATAACATCATATTGTCCAGCAATATGAAAAAAGATTGCAGAAAACCTAAAAATTTTAACTGTTCTTCAAAATTAGTAGTTTATCTCAAAGATAGGTTATATAAAAATTTATTAGGATTTAACGATTTTGACTTTCGATTTTTCATCTAGTTGATTTTGCAGTATGTACGATTTTAAAAAAAAAAAACAACAAAAAAAATGAGATAAAAAGAAAAGATTGATTGATTGATTGAAATCTGATTGTTTTATACTTTAATATTGTTCTTAAAAGGACGCAAAGTTTAATTTTTTTATTAATTTGTATATATATATATATATATATATCATAAAACCGTAAATTAATAATTAAATTCATATTGTATTTTTTTTTCGATAATTACAAAACTAATTAACTAAAGCATTGTCTAGTAGTTCTTGTATCTTGCAAAAAGATACAAAAGTAGGTAAAAAGTACTATATATCTAAATAAATGCAAATAATATCTTTAATAATGCAATCAGTTTATAATGAAAGCATAATTATTACTCAAGACTTTCTTCGGAATTTAATTAGCTTCGAGGAAAATATGATCGTTAAATTGGAAAATAAATAACAAAGAGAATACCAAGCAACGACTTAAGGAAATTCAATTACAAGTCTTTTATAATGGAGTATTACCATTGAGCAGGGCGAAAATGCTAAAATAAAGCAAACAACTAATGCATACACACGTATATACTTATTTATACACACAAATATATTTATTTACAAACACATAAATATATTGATCAAGAGATTGCAAGAATTAAAACATTTTGTTGAACTAGGAATTTTAAATTACCAATATCGGTCATTTTTAAAAATTTTAAATTTATAGTTCAACAAAAAGTCTTAATCTTCGAAAACTTGGGGCAATTCTGGTATTGTTTTTAACTGTGGTCTTAGAAATGTTACTCACGGTAACGTTTCCAAAGTTTAAATAAACAAAATTAGTAAAAATTGAGTCCAATAACCGAAAAATTGTCATAATTTCACCAAAGCTCTAGGTTGCACTTTAATTTCCAAACATCGTGAGATAATTTCTTTAGCTAATTTTTGAAATCTTGATACGGAACCCATAGAAATGAAAACGAAATTTTTACTTAATATTAGAGTCTCTATAAAATGGAATCAATTTTTCATTCAAATCAATTTGAATAACCTATTACCCAACTATAATGATAACCAAAATTGAGATTATTGAAAACATGATGATTTGATTTTCAATTAGCAATAATTTGAAAACTTTTATCATACTAGATACCCAAATCGGATTAGATTGACAGCTGATTTAGCTTTTGCTAACGAAATATAGAGTTGTAATATTACTCATTCAGAATGTAGATTTTAATTACACACACTCATATATATATATATATATATATATATATATATATATATATAATAGGGTGGTCTATAATATGGATATTTTAGAATTTCTTGCATTCCAGGGGCTTCCAAATTGAAAAAAAAATCTCTAAAAGTTTTAGCGCTTACTGTTAACTTTAAAATAGTCCGCACTACAACCAAAGCTTTTTGGTTCTTCTTCCTAAGTAAAATTATTTCCTAAGTTTAATTTTTGTTGTAAATATTTTATTTCAGATCAAAATAAGTTAATACAATATTATTCTCAAAATTTTGATTCACTTGCCGCTGTGTTATAAAACTCTAACAAACGGAATTTCACCCATAATATTTCCATAAGGAACTTTGGTTGGAGTGTGGACTATCTTAAAGTTAATATTAAGAGCTAAAACTTTCAGAGATTATTTGGATATATTCTTCTGAGTATCCATATATTTGAATATTTTACCAATTCAGAAGCATTTGGGCAAAGATATTAGAAAATTCACATATTAAGGACCACCACAATACACACAAATATATATATATATATATATATATGTATATATTTGTGTGTGTGTATTGTGATGGTCCTTAATGTGTTTCACAAATTTTATGACAATTAGAATTAAACAAACTACAATACAAAATTTTACAACTAAAGTGATCTGTAAATTATTAAAAATCTAGTATCAATTACACGTTACATAAGTGCGAAAGAACAATTGTGGTAAAATAAGACAAAACAAGTATCGCAAACACAGTTCCAAGATTCCTTCCAATTTCTATTTACCTTGGCGGCATTCGAACTGTAGGGTTCGTCAAAGAGACTCCACATTTGCGGCTTCAGTCGCTGCCACCAGGATACGCTCCCTTTGTAATAGGCTTCCTCATAACCGAACTTACGCGCTACTTCTTCCTCACTCGGTTTCTCCGTGTCCAAGTCCAGCCGATCGAGCACGGCCAGGGTCTCTTGCGTGTCTCGATGCTGAAATAGATAAAATGAAATTATATACCGTCTAGATATTAAAAATTAGAAATAAGTTTAAAATATGAGTGTAGATCAACGCATAACTTCCTGCGTAGTAAACACTGAACAAATATAAAAAAAACATAAAAAGTAATTAATATCGCTATATATGAATAGATTATAAACCGATTTTATCGTAGACCAATGTTATGGCAAGGCTATGCTATGTATCTGTTTTCATACCAAAGGGTACTAAAACCTGGAAAATGTGGTTGCTGTTTAGTCAGGCATTTTGAATATAAAACCTAACCTAGAAAATGCACAAGCATCAAAAAAGCGATGTTATCATAACTGCATCTTTGAGATATGGTTCGATAACATACGAGTGAAATTGCATTTTTGTGTAAAACACCTGATCGCGCAGCGAATACATGGTATTTAGTAATATTTTGTATGAAAACAGCTACGTAACATAGCCAACATTAGTTATTTTACGCAGTGGCGGATTAAGCTTTCTGCCGCCCTAGGCCCTATCCGTTTAGGCGCCCTTTTTAATAGACAAAATTTTACTTTTTTTATTAAACAATTTATTTTAAATTATTTAGATATAATTTCTAACTTTGCGTTGGGTAAGTAATAGTAATTGCAAAAGAATCAAACATGTTTTTTTATCTTCACGTTTCAAGGCCCTCTGAACATATTGTAATACTTTTTTTTTGAATTATCAAATTATTTATTTCTCCCAAAAATTTTATTTTATTCTATTTTATTTCTCCCAAAAAGCTCATCAATTTAATAATTTTTATTTTAAACATGAAAATCAATAAAAATATTAATGAGGCGCCCCTGAATACGTTTGATTAGAAAATGAATAACATTCTATTTCATAATATAGAAATAAAATTATATAGAACAGGATCAATCCTTAAAATAAATTGCAGTGACAATTTTTCGGGTTTAAAATTTTGACATTCGGAAAAATTTGCCGCCCTAGGCCCGGGCCTCACGGGACTATCCTGTATTTATTTCCAGGTAACATATGTATTCTCTGGTCTCCCGTAGATAGCCCCAAATAAGTGTATGTAGCAGATTAGCTTTTCTTGGAAAATTTATTTTATTTTGATAAATTAATTTTTGTTAATGTTCGCTCTCGATGACTTCGTAATCTCTCAAGTCATCAGAAAGCTGTACCCCTGGACAATAATATAATATAATATAATATATGTATAAGTTTTAATTATGGTATACATTTATTCACATTTTTATTACAGTCAATGATTCAAAACTAATCTTCAAATACCAAGCCAGCAATGGAAATAACAAAATAAAATAAACTATTCTGTCGGGAGGTTAATTAGTTCTACATCCCGCACATGTCATTATAAGTGTACCTCATGATCACTTCTTATTCTTAGAGGTTTTCTCTTATATTTATCTTGATTTTATATCCGAAAATAGGCTTTTTATTTTGATTGCTTTTTATAACTATCTGCAAATGTACATTGTCATCGTTGCTGCATTAAGAATATTGATCTTGAGGTATTCTCCTAATAGTTTCGAGTAGGTTTCTCAAAGTTATTCTGCCCAAGAAAGCATTTTAGAATTCTAAGGTATAAAAAATGATCAAAAATTGCTATCAGGCTTAGAGAAATTTTAAACTGTCATTTTCAGCACTTTTTGCTTTGTATCCCAAACGAGTGGAATTGCCAGTGCCAAAAACCGTATCCATACATGCATAAACACACATCCATTCTTTGTAAGGTGTGCCAAAATGTTCAGAAGATTTAAAACGTAAAGATGTGCAAAAATGTTCATTTTGGATTTGTGCGATTATCATAACATACCTATATCTACCTAAAGTTAATAATTGTCAATGTTTAAATATTTGTAGTTAGACTTGTTGGCTATTAAACACACAATCACAGATAGTGTTTTAATATGTGTGTATGTAGATACATTTATTAATTAAATTTGTGATAAATTTTAAAAACAGTAATTTGTTACCTATTTAAAGGAAATCGTTACAATTGACGTAGCTACTACTACAAGTAGATTACAAAAAGCTCAACATTAATTAACATAATTTGCCTAGTAATAATATTATAGAGATAATCTCATTCATCATGTTATTTTACAATGCTATTAAATGCTAGATTTCACAATCACGATTTAATACTATCTGAGCTGATCCCTTCCTATCCTTAGCAGATTAAGAGAGACAATAACGGAATTATGAAGCTCTTATTTGTCATAGAGCAATTAAACTTCATAACTGTTTACACAAAAATCTGCAATTAGTAAAATGAGTAAACATTCAATTGCTGGAAGCTTTTGCAAAAATAATAGTATCACCAAGTTGACTCGATTTCGATACTACAGAAGGGGTTAAGGTACAGGTTTGAACATAAATTCAATGACAAAACTTTCGTTGATTTATGTACTTGCATTTACAAGATTTTGCTGAATGTAAATAGAATACGTTATTTCCATAAAATATAGCACGTTGATAAAAAATACTTTTGAGAATGTTGATTTTTTAGAGATTTTTTAGAAAGTATAGAATAATATCGTAGTACAACTGAACACAGTTTTTAATACGTATTAATTTTTAATTTTATAAGATTTTAAAATATCAATTTGATAAATTGTTGGCACTCTCCATTGCGTATCTTAATTAGATAATTGAAGATTTTTGAAGGTATATATTTTCACTGAAAAATATTGGTAACACTAGTCATGGCCTAAACTGGCTCTATTGATGGATATTATCGCGTAATATCTAATTAGTCGGATTTATATAACTAATGTGTATCGATTGACTTCTGCTTCCATAGAAAAGAAGATTAAGCCTAATTATATAATTAGCAATTATCATGTTTTACTGATATCCAAGATCTTGTTTTCTATGCAATCTATTATAATTCAATTTTTTTGTTAATAATCAAGATGAAGGGATTGGGAAGCAGTAACGGTTTGTAGCATAAAAATGAGTATTGTGATTTTATAACTTTACCTTCAATACTTATTTTAACGGAAAAAATTGAAGAATTTAAAAAATTCTTGAAAAGTAAAATATAGTTAATTTTTAAATATATTTTTAACAATCAACAAACAATAATAATTGGTAATTTAAAACATACAATAAATTATATATAAATGCAACAAAAACGTTATAAGCAAATTTTACACAATAGTAAAATAGATTGCATAGGTATCAATAAAAATGAGAGAAAAATTTCTTCATGAAGAATCTGGAATTTTTTAAATGTCAATAAAATTCATTCATCAAATCGTTCGTAAAACGAAGTTGATCTTTATCGAAAAGAAATAGAAGACTGAATTGTATTTGATTGGTTATTGATAACAAAAAGCTCAACTGATCACAAAAATATGGACATTTTGATATTATCAAACTAAATTTCAAAAATATCCTTTTTAGATTATAATAAAAGTACTTGTTATAATGAAACTTTTATCTTGAAATGCACATGGCACTAATCGTTTGTTTTAAATTGTTTCAGGCATATGCAAGTGTGATCAATCAAATGGACATTTTGAGAAGGTTTTGAGAATTCTTTTAATGACGACAAGGTAAAATGATTTACATTTGGGAATATTATGGAAATGGTCACATTTTTTCGAGATGATTGTGTAATTAATGTAATTTAAATATCATAAGGTTGAGGTTATAAGTCTTGAGTACTGAAGTGTGCAACTATTGCAGCGATTGTTCCAAATGATAACTGTTCATTGCAAAACGCTAATAGTAAATCATAGCAGATGTTTAATTACCGAAATACGTAATAATTATATATCATGTACAGTGATTCATCCTTACGTAATATATTATATAATGTACTAGCAAATATATGGCCGCACAGATGTCTTGACAATAAATTTGGTATCGTACTTCATACATGAAACCGAACATAATTCAGCCAACGGCGCTGGCGACCACATGCTGTTCTATGGTTTATGTAGAAAAGCTTTATTACCGTCAAGAATTTATTATATTGACTTTAACTCATTAGTTACAGAAAGACTACATTTTAACTTCCCGAAGGAGAACTTTATTTTTGCCAGACAATTCCAGTTGCTATTTTTATGATTTATCGACGTTTTAAGTCATTCTAAATCGAATGAGACCAAATTTCGATAGAGTATGTATGTATGTGTGCGTGCAAATTTTAATCTTTCATCGACGTTACCTCAAAAACGACTGAACCGATTTCAAAAAATTGAAAGCCATTCGATAAACTGTGATAAGTTTTTTTTTGATACGATCGACTGAGCGGTTTCGTTAAAATTAGCAGAAAAGTACAAAATTTTCCGTACACGTTTTAACCAAAAATTTTGAATCAATATTAAAAATTTAAAAATCTATTCGGAACATATCATTTAGGTATTGCGCTGATTATTTTTTAGCGCAGATCGGCTGAATCGTTAATTGATTGTTAACCTTTTTTTAATGAAACGTTGTATGGCAATAGAGTTCCTGGTTTTAATGAACATGCTAAAACACAAGAGGCCTACGATAAGTGGTAAAAATTTATTAATGCTTTGATTAATCAGCCATGTATTTCAAATATACTTTGTGCATATACGAGATTATCTCGTATTAGGTGGTTATTTGTTTCTCAATAATGTGCAATGAATAAAATTGTACAAAATTAATCTGCAAGTTTTTCTCACATTATGGTGCTCAGCAACAATTGGGTATACAGTAGAACTCCAATTATCCGAATTAATGGGGACCGAGACCCATTCGGATAATCAAATATTCGTATAATCGGAGTTTTTTTTTTAAATTGCCATTGGAGAGAAAAAAAAGTTACGTTTTGATATTGCACTATTTTTTATTAAATTAAATGAAAGAAACATAATATTTTCACATGTTTTAAATATAATTAAAATGCACTTATGTATAAGTTTAGAAATAAAAATCATTGTTTTTTAAATATCTCCGTTAAATAAAAACAAACAATGTGCCTACACTGGCTTCGCTGGTGGAAGAATAA